CGAGCAATGTACGCGATAATAATTCAAATTTCAAAGCCCGTACTCGTTCAACTTTGCAAGCTAATTTTAAAGTAAATACAGAACTTCTACAATATCATGGCATTTATAATGATATTGAATTGAGTGCTCTCATTTTAATAATATTATGAAATTATTGGTCGCTGTTCCAATAGTAATTGTTAATAAAAGTAAAGTAGAAGTCCGTGGTCGAAAGAGTTACATAAATTGAAAACAGAAAACTCATCTTAAACATTTTAAAACCGGTTTACTTGTGATCATTCTAAATATTCAAAATAAAATATAATATTAAAAATAATACTTAAACAAAGTAAAAGAATGTTGTAAGTAATCCAAAATCGTTTATGATCTAACTCCAAACGTAGATATTTCGTCCGATGAAATACAGTAATCATTTCAACTGACAATGTTATTATATCACAATATGTGAAATTTTCCAACTCAAACTACTGTAATAATTCTTCCAAAACTTCTCTAATCAGCACGTGCTGTGTTCGAATACTTTAATTAACGCTCCAATTATTTCTGAAGAAGACGTCCTACTTAAATGAAATAAGTTAAAACCATTTTAGTTAGGCCCATGACATGATACCGTATGTATCCTAAAAATTATTGCCAAATATATTTACTCCGTTGACAAGGATATTTAATTCCTCTCTAAACACGGTATATTTCCTTCAATATGGAAACAGTCATTTATAATCCCTTGTATAAAAGTGGATTAGTCAAATTGAAAACTATGAGGTATCGCAAACTATCGTTATACCTAAATTTTGAAGCTATCATAACTGACCATATAACTTTTCGATTTCTCCGTTAATTTCCCTATCTCAGCATGATTTCGTAAAGGAAATCGACCAACTTGTTGAATTTTAAACCATGTATCATGTTTTAGGAACATAAGCATAGACTTAGCAAAGCTTATCAAAGTAAACCCCTTGATTCTCATACATAAACTTGATCTATGCTCAGCCAAGATTTCATTCGGTAGCTTCTATCTTTATAATAGAACACAAGAGGATATTGAGGATAACCTTCAGATACACAATTTCTTCAGGTGTTCCGCAAGGTAGTCATCTGGCCCGATTCTGTTTTTGTTGTTTATTAACGATATCTCTTCAGTAATTGAATTCTCCATATTATACGCTGATGACGTAAAGCTTTTTAAATCCTACACTTCAACTGAGGAAAGGTGTCTGTTGCAAACAGACTTAAACAATATGGTTGCATGGTATGATAGAAATGATTTGCTATTGAATCTGAATAAATGTAAGACGATGTGCTTTTCCCGTAGATCTGTGCACCCCTCTTCTTATGTAATAAAAGACCATATTCTGGAGCAAGTTTTTAACTATGTTGATTTGGGCGTTAATATGGACCCTAAGCTCATATTGACACCATGGTCTTGAAAGCAAAAGCTGTCCTCAGTTTTGTTAAACGTTGGTCTAAAGAATTTAGAGATCCGTATATTACTAAAATACTTTATACAACTTTGGTTAGACCTATAATGGAATATGGCTCTGTTGTATGGAACCCTAACTACCAAAGCCATTCTGACAAGTTAGAGTCTGTTCAAAAACAATTTTTACTTTTCGCCTTAGCGCATTTCCGATGGGATTCTAGGGTAAGTCTACCTCCACACACTAGTCGTCTAAAACTTATTAATCTATATACACCTCTAGTCGTAGGGAAATGCTGGGCATAGAATAGAATAGAATGAATATGAGGTTTGCACTGCGACCCAGGGTCTATTGTGCCCTCTCCTCTATCACATGCTTTCCCAAAGTCCCAGCACCTTGAAAAACTCCAACAAATTGCTGGGTGCTATTGAGGCAATGTGATCCCTGTTCACATAAGTTGAGCCTAGGGCCTTGAGCCTGCGTCTACAAATTGCGGGGCAATCTAGAATCAGGTGTTCTGGTGTTTCCGGCCCCATGTCGCAGAATCAGCAGTTGCCACAAGAAGCCATGCCCATGTTTGGCAGGTATTTCTTGAGCCTACAGTGCCCAGTGTAGAGTGCGACTAGGAGTCGGAGTTTGTCTCTGGGGAGGTTTATCATTATTCTGAACCTGGCTAGGTTGAACCCTCCCAGTAGCAGTTTAGCATGGCGCATCCCTGCAGCCTGTTGCCAGTGACTGTCTCTGTTCGCTCTCTCCTCCGTACGGAGCAGCTCCTTTATTGTATGGGGCCCCACCGCAATGCATGGTTCTGACCCTATCATTCTGGTAGCAGCAGCAGAGCGGACGAGTTCATCTGCCAGCTCGGTACCTGCTACCCCTTTATGCCCCGGCACCTAGATCAGGTGTACACGGTTGCAAGCTGATAGGCGGTTAAGCCTACTCCTCCACTAATAGCGATCGAATCTCGTAGGCCGATATCGCTTTTAGCGCCGCTTGGCTATCGCTGAGTATTGCGATACTCTTATTATGGTAGTTGCGTTGGAGATTTATTACTGCACACTGACTAATGGCAAATACTTCTGCCTGAAAGATGCTTGGAAAACAACCCATGGGAATGGAAAGCTTGGTATGCGGTCCCGCAATGCCAGCTCCAATTTCTTCTGGTGTTTTCGAGCCGTCAGTGTACCACTGACTGGTGCTGCCTCTCAGCAGTTGGTCGAGTGTGGAATCGCTCCAGTCCGCCTTACTATCGAGAGTAACTTTAACTTTTTCGTAAAGTTTGCTCTCTTCGTTACCCCGTCTCTTGGAAGAAGGGCTAGTGGCGTGTTGTCCTCTAAGGCCCTCATTTGTTGAGACGAGATGAACTTCCCTTTCCCATACCCCTCTGGTATGCTTCGCAGTCGTTCCTTTTCTCCAGTGCTCTGATCACGCTTGCGTGGGACTCATTATCAAAAGCACCTTCAATGTCTAGGAAAGCACATATCGCAACCTCATTGTTCTCCAGCGAGTTCTGGATTTCAGCAGTTAGTTGGTACAGAGCAGTATTAGTAGACCTACCTGTTCTGTACGCGTGCTGATTTGCATGCAGAGGTGCTACTTTTAGTGCATTCGATCTTATATGGTTGGTATGGTGGTAATCTTTTCCATACCTTTTAGCATGAAGGAGGTGAGACTAATAGGCCTGAAAGACTTGGCTAGTGAATAGTCCTTACTTCCTACCTTGGGTATGGAAATTACCTTTGCTACTCTCCACGGTGATGGGATGTACGCCAACGCAAGGCTACCTCTCATCAGCCCTACAAGGTGCGGCAATAGAGCTTGCCCACCTTGCTGTAGAAGTGCTGGGAAGATGCCGTCAGCCCCTGGTGACTTATATTTCAAGAAGGAAGTCAGTGCCCACTTGATTGAGTCTGCATTGAATAACTTCTTTGCACCTGTCCAATCTGAGTGATCTGGCTTATGTGCGACCACTGGTGGAATTTGGTCGTCCCGAATAGTCTCCGGGAAGTGCTCAAGCAAGAGCGCCATTGCTCTTTCATTATATGGGGGCATAATATTCTTAGTGAAAATCTTGAATAGAACAGTTTGCAGTTCTTTTCTCCTGTCTGAAATTAAATTTAATATCCCGATTCGCTTTTCGAGGCAGTTTAGACCTTTACTGTTAAAATCCTGTAAATCAAATTTTGAACTAAACGAGCCATTCCGCCGTATATGTCATGATTTTAATTCTCATTCCAGCACATTTGACTTATCTGACTCACTTTTCAAAATTAAAAAAGACTTTATTGTTTTCTCTTAATGAATGAAAATGTAACAATTTTATATATTGTAACTATAAATCTTAGCTGTTGAAACTGTGTTGCCTTTTCTGACTCCGCTATTCCGCACGTATGCGGATTGCGCCCCTCGCGACGGTTGAGCGGGAGGAGGGTAATCGTTGGGTTATTATTATATGTGAAGTGGCATTTGTATTTTTTGTTTAAAGTGTTTAATTTTTCTCTTTATGTTGGGAGATACGTATTATGTCAGAGAACGTTGTTATAAATTCTCATTTCTGTTAAATAACAGCAAATCCTACAGAAAATGGTGAACTCCTTGATCTCAATTTTTCAGCTCTGTTAGCCGTCCAATCGAGCATCATACAAAATTCAATTTGCACCTTCTCGTTCTTCTAAGTTCTCTGGTGAAATCCTCTTAAGTTGGCGAGTAACCCTCCGTCAAGAGGAACATTTTGACAATCGGCACACCATGAACCTTCTCTATGATATACGTTCTCTGGTTCTAGTTAGAATGTTGTCGTCTAAAGAGCAATTAAGTTATAAGCTATTAGTTATAAACTCGAATAACGAGCAATAAGTGTTAAGTTGTTGGAATTAAAAATAAAGATAAGTGTATAGCCATTAACTTGGGACTTTTATTTAACAATCCAGTGATCGAACTCAAGAGTGAGAAATGGGATTGTGAAATGAATTCCCAAGGAGATAATAATGTGAGTATAGCCAAGTTTAACGATCTGAAGATTCCACAACTGAAAAAGGAGGAGGTAAGAGATGCGCTCATCAAACGCTTTGGACATAAAAATCATTTTGGCTGCAATGTCCCAGATGTCAACGCAAATATCGACACAGTTTACGAATTTGTAGAAAAAAGTAGAAGTAGGCCCCAAAAATTGAAACGTAAATCTATAGCTAAGGTCCCCCAAAGAAGGAGGCCTCGATTATTATTTTATTTAAATTTTTTTTTTAAATCATCTTATTTGGCTCGAAGATTAAAAATTCATGCACGGAAAGTTGATTTTTTTCACAATTCTATTTTATTGAATTCAAGAAAGATTGCACACTCAGCACATGTTCTTTGGCGTGGTACCTCGGTTTTGCACTGGCGGCCTTCGGGCGCACCTTAACAAATTAACTGGTCGGTCCAAGAACCGGGGTGTTCATAATTTATTCGCGTCGAAGTCTTTTCAGTATTTTCTTTTTACAAGAAAATGTCTAACTCGTTGAACGTGTAATTACAGCTTAGTGAACTGAGCTCTACAGAATTCTGCCTCTACAACAACAAAAATAAACAACTAAGTTTTTCGAAGAATATGTGTTAAGTATGTTAAATATATTTTTAGCATACATAAATTATTGAAATTCAGACGATTTAAAAAAAAATTTTAATTTTCCCAGTCTCCTTCGTTTGGTGACCTAAACTATACATATATCGAGATTTCTACTATTTCCATTCTCCACCTAAATATTTGTCATCCTCACAATTTTAAACGGTTGAAGAGTGCAAACATGCGTTATATCAGCTAGAACATACATATCCGACGCCATTTCAGAATGATTATTTTATGATAGCAAATTCCCACAGAAGAAAATTGCCAACCTTAATGGCAATGTATTTGACAGATGGTCGCAATGTACAGCCGCCTGTGAAGATGCGGTGTTACTAAAACATTCTGGCAACTACGAACATCGCTATCTGTTCGATTCCAGTAATTTATCTTCACTTCTGTTTAGTTCTGACAATCTATAAGATATTAAGTTAAAGAAACAAAATTGCTTTTTCTGAAAGTTGTGAATTTGCTGAAATATGTTTTATATGCAAAATAGTATATTTGATATAACAAGATCAATATAAAAATGGAATTATCTCCTAGTGGACAGTCTGTTGATAAAAAACCAATTTTAACACCAGACGGACTTATACAAACTTCAAACTCTTCCGAAAACAACACAGAGGACGAACAAGCATCCAATCCATCGTCACTGGCAACAGGCCAAAGCATAAATTTGACAGCGATTTTACCCGTCATATACGAAATTATTCGTTGGTAAGTATTTTGACATTGTTTTTACTGCAATAGGTAATTTTTGTACAGGATAGTCAAAATTTTTTCGTTTTCTCTTTTTATTTGCCAAAATTATGTAATTAGTGAATGTGTTTTCCATTTGTTTTTAAATAAACAGTGTCGAAAAGGACCCCCTTGATAACGCAACCAAACAACGGGAATCCCAAGAGTGTAGTCAAAAAGTAAGTAAATTGATGGTAATAACAAATTGTAAATACGGCATGTTACATTTCTGTTATTAGATAATAGAATTGCAAAAACGTTTCGACGTTGCAAGATCTGAAGTAAAACAGTTGCCAGGTATAGACTACAATAAAGAAGAGCAGCTTCAACGTTTAGAACTTCTCCGAAACCAGTTAAAGCTTAAACAACAACTTATCCGTAAATATAAAGATATTCAGCTTTAAAAAAAGTACGACACGTAATCCACAATGGTATTTCGATTCTTGCTACGTTATTTGGCTAATAATGAACAGTTAATTCAGCGCATGGCTGAGAGTTATCCAATGCGTCGTGCTGCTCAAATGGTTGTATCCATCATGTATCGTACTAAGAATATGGTTGAGGAGCGTAGAATTCATGACATGACTCCGGAGCGTTTCAAGTAAGTGAAAAACATTTCGAGACAAAGGTTAGAGTTTATATATTTCCAGGTCATTCATGGCAATTTTTAAAACCAATCTTAAGAAAGAAATTGAAGGTGTGAAGGATGAAATCAAAAAGAAACCGTTTTAGAAAATCTATATAGGTACAGTGAGATGTTAACCAAATGAACGTTGTATTTAAAGTTATTTAATGCAATTTTAATTTTTAGGTGCACGTAACTGGTCTTAGTCTAACTGAATATATTGAAACGAGTAATTCAGACATTTGGATAACGCATAAATTTAAAAAAATGTGAAACAGTCCAATTTAATAAATATGTATGTACGAGGTGTGTTGAATGTAAAAAGTTGAGTTTTAACATCTATTTTCCAAACACTATATGTTTATCAGTATTATTGCTGGCCCTTTTGAGCTGGCCGCAGTACGCGAACGATATTTAGAGTCACACCTACTGTGTATAAAAAAAAACCTGCATATATATTTTAAGAATACACAATACAATTTTGAATAAAAAAATATTTTTCGAACTATCCCCGATCTCCGGCGGCGCTAAAAAAAAAAAGGCCCTCCACTGCTGTTCTTGCTACGGTTGAAACAAAATCAAAAATCAACAATATGGCGGTTTTAAAAAAATGTTGCATTGTACCCTAAATAAAATTTTAATAGTGGTCGCATTATTTGTTCATCTTCCTGAGTAAGCACTGTAGCAAATTCGAAAAATCGCTATTTCGAAAATAGCGCGTTTAGTACGGTATTTTTAAAGGTATAGGGACTTTTCGGTTATGCAGTAAATACAGGCAACAACGGCGCATTTGAAAATTTGCATTTTCAAACATAAAAATGTGCGAAATATATTTAATTAATATTCTCACGGACGAATTATATACTTACATATGTATAACATAAATCACATTAGTTGCTAGCACAGTTGGTTTAGATGTAATTTTTGTGAAACTACTTTCAAATGTGCAAGTTTTGCGCAATAGCTAAGATAGTGATGCTTTTTAACTTTTAATTTTGGCAAAGATGTCAGATTTGCCTTTTTGAATTGGTTGCATCATGCATACTGCGCAGTATGCATTACCGAAAACACCCATAGACTATCGAAATATGCAAAAATATTAATTATTTTTAATTTCGCAAGGTGTGCCTCTTAAGTCATTCTAAACATTCTTGATACACATCTTATGTATAAAACTTAACTTATGCGGCACTGGCAATCGAGTATCATCAGCAACTTCTCTCATCTTGTTTAATTTCTTTGCTTTTTGATACAATATTGTAGGCGAATTCTTCGAGTATTTTCTATTTTTCATATTTTTAGGAAACTTGTTACAGTTTGGGTAGCTTCAAACCGGATCCAACATTTTTATACAATACATCTTTCAAAGTTATTAAGATCATAATATGAAGAATAGCCAAATACTAGCGCATTCTAAGCGGAATATAAAATGTGATAATTTATTTAAGAAGCACTTATAAAAGAAAAAGAAAAAAACCAAAACTAAATATTTTCACTCAATTATGCCTATCATTGCCAATCGTCTTCGAATCGCCACTCGCCATGACTATTTGACTGCTTTACATTACAATGGCCTTCATATTCTCTCTTTTATTTTAGTCTATTTCATTTATACCACAAAGCTACTTATAATTTTATATACGAGTTCTAAAATTTTAAAATAACAACTCAAAATTCAATGATTCACAAGAATTGTTCAAATTGTGATATTCACATTCGATTAAAACTTATCAAATCGGATTTTTAATAGTCCAAGAACTGCCATCTCCGTAGCATTCTTTCAACTTTCTGTCGCTAAACCAGGTACACCATTTGTAATAAATCGAAACCATATTAAAGTAAATTAATTTTGTTTTTTTATTCATAACTAGTAATTTAAGCAAATATTTTAAAATAGCGCATATTTTTTCAAATTTAATTTCACATTTTCTTATTTTCATATAATTATATAACAAAACTGTTTAGATTTTATAAATCCAATCTCCTTTAACAAAAAGAAAAAAATGTAATCCACTTTATTGAAATGAAGAGATTAATAAATAAATACAAATAATAGCCAATGTGGTAATTTTATTTTTTGACAGCAATGTGTGAGCTGTTGGGTTGAGCCTGTAAATCACTGAAAGAGCCTCCCATACTTAACCCACTCACTGGTACTGCAGTGTGGGAAGAACTGCGTTTCTGGTGCTTTGAACTGCGCATATCACGTTTATCAATACAAGTCTCAAGCACTCCATCAAAACTTTGTTTCATCTCATTTAGATCTATATCCGTTGGTTGCAATTGCTTCCCATTTTTTAATATTGCCACTTGAACATTGGGATTTTGATTTTGTGGTACTGCGTTTGAATTGTTTTGGCCATGACTTTGGCCACGCCCCTGCATTTTATTCGGTTTAGATCGATGTTGTAAAGCAACCGAATTCGTTACGGGTTTCAAAACGTTCCCCACTGCTTTAGTACGACCTTCTCGAAAAACCATTCTTTGCCCAATTCGAATGTACTCTGGATGTTTAATGAAACGAAACTTTACATGAGCTTTGTCGCCAGTACGTAGACAGTCCTTCGACATATTTATGATGGATGCAGTTTGTCGAATACTTCCGCAGTGTACCATGGCTTGATAACGGGAAGATATAGTTGTAGGATGATGAAGAACAAGAATTTCCCCTTCGAACTCCCAACATGCTTGAGGTTTTAATTCTGGACTAACCATTACCTGAAAAATTTAGGTTAGCAACATAACACAAACATTGTTGGTTTATATTCATTACCATTCCTTTACGTATTTGAGATCTTTTTATCTTCTTTAATGCAAAACTAGCTGTTTGACCCCCACGCACTTCTTTGACATTCATTCGCTTACGATGAATGCTTTTTACAGCAATCGGTATAAAATTTCCCAATGCGTCCGGTCCAAGCATAAGGGTATCATTCAGTTTTATTAGACCTTGAAGGCAAGTTCCAGAAACCACTGTGCCCACACCAGGCACTGAATATGTGTCATCAATTTGAAACTCTGCGGGCAAGTTGTCTTGTCCAGTCGTTCGAGTTGTTAACAAATTTAAAAACATTTTCAATAACTCCAAGTTCTCTCCAGTAACATTGGAGACTTGAAAAATTGGACACAAACGCTGAGAAACAAAGTTTGTGGCACTTAACACAACATCATCTGGACTTTTCACCATTACTGGTACTTTACGACAACCCTGGGACTTTAATATTTTAAAAAGCAATTTTAAGTTATCTTGTAAAACATTGGGAGGACACATATCAATTTTTGTAACGACCACAAATACTGGTACCGACAATGCTAATGCCAATCCCAAATGCTCTTTTGTCATACCAACGATACCAGAATTGGCACCGACCTGAAAGAATAAAATAAAATAGAAGGCTCAATAAATTAATATTAGATTACCATTAGCATTCCAAAATCCGGGGCATGTCCTGTCATACCAAATACAGTCGTTTTCAAATAGCGTTCATGCCCCGCCAAATCAATAAAAGTAATAACTTTTGCGGATTTTTCACAAATCTTAACCCAGTCAAGCGTACCATGATCAGGCTTATTAACTACATTTCCAACACTATCGAATCCTGAGGAATAAGGTACGGTAAATGATCAAACACTCGTTTAAGCTGTAAAGTACACATTTTTTCTGCAGCTTTAAGAATAATAAACATCGAATACCACTAAAGTAGGGTAAGCATGGTGCAGAGATGCAATTTTATGATGTTAATAGTTGGCCTACCTAATATATCATTCCCCACAGAACTAGTGCGTCCAGTTTCCATTTCGTGTTTGTGCCGAAACAATCGCTGGCGAGCATGCCCCCGCCCATTATCCAATTCACCATGCGTTAGAACCCCAAGCAAAGTAGATTTTCCTGCATCCACATTTCCAACCACTGCAACACTACACAAAAGTTCAAAATAAGTTAAAATGAATACTTGTACGTTAGGGTGTCTGTTATTTCACAAGTTGATCTCTTTTTTTTNTTTTTTTTCTACTGACTTTCAGTTTTCGCCCTCAAAATAATTATACAAGGGAAACAAACTCTTGATTTTTAATTTAAATCTAAATTATATTACTTTTCCCTATGTATTTATCTTTTGCATTAAATATTTTATCTCCAAAACAAATAAGCCTACAACTTTGAAAAAAAAAAATTCTATTACAAAATTAGCGTTCTAAAATTTTCGTTCAAAAGATCGTATTAGGTTTTTCCATAAAAACATTCCGTTAAAAGTTATAATCAGTTAAACTTAAGCTTTTAACTTTGGATAATTTTTTTTAGGATAAGAACTGAAGCTTCAGGGAGATTCAGCAAAAAAAGTTAACTTTAGGAAATTACGGACACTCTTACGTGCACACATACATATATAAATTCATGGCATATTTTTCCTACCGAATTTCTAGGAAATCTGAAGTATCGACACGTTTCCGTATCAAATACTGGCCTGCCAAACCCTTTTCAACTTTTCTCTGCCTCAGTAACACTACATCAGAATCGAGTGTTGTGGCTAACGATTGCAATGTGGCGACCGATGCGCGGTACTCGTCCTCATCCAAGCCATTGTCGCTGCCATCTGTGTAATGGTAACGACAATATAATACGGCAACTAGACTTAAATCACAAATCATCATATTCAAAATTTTACCTTCTCCTATACCGATTTCATATATTGTTTCACCACGGCAGTCTTCTGTGCGCTCTTCTAGCCTCTTTTTTAGCAGCTCGAACTGTACTTCTGTTGGACTTACCAAGACTTTCTTCCCACAAATACTGGAATAATCAACTTTAGGACTATGCAGACGCTGGAACTCATTAATAACAGTACTGCTGTCATCTTCTGGTGTTAGAGGATAGCTTCCACTCATAGTTTCCTAAAGGACTTCAACTAATTTCGATGTTATATTAGACTTTTACTTTATTCTGGAAAAACTGTAGACATTGAACTCATCCAAAATCATTGCTTTGTTACAAACTTTTCCTAGGCTTTATCTGTTAATCAAAAGATAAAAGATTGGAAATAATATGAATATGTTTATGTAAATATTTCTTCAAAGTTATATATCAGTTTTAAATTTCTGAAATATAAAATATCTCCATATGACTGCAAACTCTCACCCAAATTCGAAATTAAACAACAAATTGCTATCAACTGACGAAAAGGTAGTATTCATTGTGCGGTTGATTGCAAACTGGAAAGGCCGGCATTCTAGTGCATCGTTTATATACCATTGTAAGCTAAATAATGATGCAACGAAGTTAAAGTTGTAGAAATCGGCCGAAGCGTGATGCGTTTATTACCGTACACATACATATATAAATACTTGTGATGAAATATGTGTATTTGCAGATGACGAAATAATATGCTTTCCAGCTATCAATACCACGAAGGAAAACGGTGAACAAATCGTACAAATTAGAATTAAGCATATCGTGGTAACCTAAACACTGTGAACTCTTACCATACGTTTGATTAAGGAAAAGTAAATTGTAGACTTATTAATGAATTAATTTATCATCAATATACAAGCCAGTCTTTTTTTAAAGAATTTTCAAAGATGGCTATGTAACTAGACATTTTCGAAACGATTTTTCAGTAAAACATTAACCGAATCAATTAAGAACAAGAATATTTCCTACAGAGTCATATATAAATAGATGTATATGAATATGAGATTCGTGTTAAAACATTAATTATTCTAATGTTCACTTCAAATTGGTAAAACTCTGTCGGAACTCGCTCTTCATTCAAGTTTTAGTTTGGCGCCTTTCTTTTAATAGATAATAAATACTACATGGGTTGACAAATCCTTTCGACTTTAATAATGTGACGCTATCCCTCGATTTAAAAATTTAATTTGTAATCCGCAAAACTAGGGGAATAAAAAGCAAACTTATTTTAATTTAATATAAATAATTTTAATTTCTATTTTAATTTTTGCCACTGTTTTGTTTTTGCTGTCCTTGCTCGCTTTCTTTAAATATTTTTTATTCTTAAATATTAATGAAAATGCTATGTAATTTACTAATATATGGACAAAACCAATTTTATTTGATAGATTTTCGAATTTAGCCATTCGAAATATTTGCTTACAAAGTGCGAAATTCAGCTTATTTTAAACATCATTATTAATTATAGTATGTAGGATATTAAAAAAGTAAAAATATGGCATAATCTACCATCTTTATCTTAAATATTTAACTGATGTACAGCATTTCTCGATCCAGCTATAGGCCAGTTGCTATAAGTCAACGTTGATTTTTAGCGCTTACCCTTTTTTGTACTCACTCTAATGTGGCCTTTTCGCTAAAAATTTCTTTTCAAATCTTACAATATTTCCCGGTATTATTTTATTTAAAGATGCATAACTAATCGTTAACGTGTTAGGATTTATTTCAATGGTTTCGCCAAAATATAAAACTAAAACTCAATTCCAATTTTGTCTGGGTTGTAGAAATATGTATAACAAAGACGCTTTTGATGCATTTTTTGTTTTCAAATTTTTCGACAAACAATTATTTCTGCTAATTTCTTCAATTTTCAAGTTTATTTCACAAACAAAAAAAGGTCTTTTGGTGGATATATACTTGTACATATATATTTTATAACAAGTCCTATCGGTTATGGGCCGGCGTGAAAACGTCCCAAACAAACTTATATTCACATTTATAATATTACTATTCGATTTTTATAAAAATTAGTATTTGAAGATTACTACATATAATGAATTTTCAAAAACTGATAACATGCTTTATTGAAATAATTCACTACTATTTAAGTTGAAATATATTTCAAGAGCGGATTATTTTCGTAAGTTTCTCAGTCTGGTGCAAAATTTTAATTTCGGGCATTCGACACTCGCGAAAAGACTACATAAAGTTGACCGGTAAAGAATCATTGCTTATATAAATGCAAAAAGTGTCTAAATTGAGGTTAGAAATGTCGTTGTACAGTAAAAGTTTGTGAAAATGCAGATAGTTTTATCACTTTATGCACTCCAAAGGATGTCATTTGAAAGCAAGGATTATACTTTCTGAGTTTGCTTAAAAATTGCTTGGACTTATCTGTAACACTTGAGTACAAAGTTTTTAAAGGCTCTTCTTGTACAATAAGTCATGGAAGAGAAATTATACAATATACAAATTTTTTATCTATTAAGCCAATAATAATAAAAGGATGACTATTATACTCCATTGAATAATCACATTGAAATATGATTTAGTTAAACAGAGGCCAACCCTGTCTAGCCTGCATTTCTGCAAAAATAATGCTTCTCGGTTCTCAGTTGATCAGCTTGCCTTTCTACATGAGCTCGCTTTTGAATAGGTGTTTATGCTGCTTTCAACACATTTTATCGCCCTGCTTGCTGTTGAGTTCTCAGCTCTCCGTAAGCTGAAGTTAATAATGAATACACTTTGCAACTTTTGCAACAAGAGACCGTGACGAACTTCTGGACGAATTTGATGTACATACAAGTATGCTTTGGCATTTTTTTTGTTTAGATAGTTGTAAAATGTTCCAACAAACAACAAATGAACTATTTCATTTTTCAAATTTGTTTATAAATAATCAGATCTGCCAAAAGAATTTTTCTCAATCGGTATAAAATAGTATTTTTTTAATCAAGTATCCTATGTCCTTTCAATACCTTTATGTATATGCGTACAATGTTTGATGATGATCGTGATAATGCATGGAAGTGTAACAAACAAACTTACGTTCAAATGTATATACATATATATGTATATATTAGTGAGGGCGGTTTTTTTTGTCTAAACAATCACATATGCGGGAAATGTTCTACGGATCATTCTGAACAATTTTGCCTGAGAGAATTTATAATTTATTTATATTGTATATAAAAGAAAAGTTAACCAAAGCAAATATATCGAAAACTATAATTTTCCTGCGGCAATAATTATATATATTTGCGATCTGGAGAATATCATCAATCCAACCATTCCCCTCTTAACCCTGAAATCGTGGGATGCTAAACTAAAGCCGACCCGAATTTATTTTTATGTGAAGTTTAATTTTTCGGGATTATAAAAATTTCTTCGTCAGGTTTTGAGATATCCGAATGAAATTTAATCTTAGCATTTTTTTAAAAGGCAGGCAAACAGAATAATCAGTTGCATGGAAAATATGTGATATGGTTGTCCGATCTGGCCGTTTCTGACAAATGAAATCAATAGAATCTTAAAATGCACCTATGTAGGCTTAAAAGCAATGTAAATTAAATGAGTATTGAGAATGGTGAGTTCAGGAATTAAAAACAATAATGTTTCACAAGCTAATACTAACTGAATGAATATAAAATATTTTTTGGCTTTTCTGTTATCTTAACTGTTAAAGTTTAGTTTAATGTAACGTTACCAAGCACATCTGATTGTAATGATAGTTCACAAAATATTAACACATTTCAAATTTGCTCGTACGCACGAAAAGAAATTTTCCCAAAATTTCGCCTATTTACAATTGCTCTGACCAGTAAAATTGTATGTATCCGCAAATATAGAATTCCCTTAAATTTGTGATATTAACATATTTCGGAAATACTAAATCTGACAAGTAAAATTTAATCCCAAAAAAATTTTTATCATGCTAAATTGAATAAAATCGTGTAAAAATTAAAAAAAAAAATTATTTGCAGAGCCGTGTAAAAACAGAATTAGGTGTATAGTATGGATACCCCCTACAAAAGTGTAGAAACGAACAAAAACTTTTGCTGTAGCGGTATAAAACATTTGTCAAAGAGTTTTAAAAAATACTGCCGAATTATAATTAGGGCCCGTTCCTGAGCTGCCTAATGGTAATTAGTACAACAGGCATTATATAACGGAACTTCCGCCTAAACGCAGAACTCAAGTATGGAACTCTCTTATATGATAAATTTGGTAAATGTATAGTTTAAGTCCCCGAGCTAAGGAGGCCTCAAAAATGAATTTTTTTTTAATTCGTCTTATTTTTACGAGTAGATTACAAATCCGTGAGCAGAAAGTGAATTTTTTCAATATGTCTTTTTTTTAATTTTTTCAAAAAAAAAATTGTTTTTTTATAAATATGCATTAAAAGTAAAAAATTGTGATACATTTAAAAAAATTGTTTTATTTTTTTCTTTGAAAAAAAATTCACATATTGTTTAAGTTTTTTGGTGCATTTACTCCTCTTCTTCATAAACGTTTCTGAAACTTTATATTAAAATATCAGTGTTAGTGCACTTTTATTGTTATTAATAATTACACATACTCTGCAGCATGAAAATTATCATTGAGGTTGAGAGCAGCAAAAAGAAGTTTGACGCGATTGAATTATAAACACCCCGGTTTTGGACCAGGGTTATTTTTTTGAAGGGCAGCCGAAGGCCGCCAGTGGGGAAAGGATTTCGGCGATCTCCGATATTCGTCCATACCATCAGATCGCGGCGCAAAAGAAATTGTGACCGCTACATTTCTTCAGTATATTTTTTTCATAAGAAAATGTTTAACACGCTCAACTGGTAATTACAGCTAAGTGATCTGAATTCTACACAATTTGGCCGCTACAAAAACAACAACTAAGTGTCTTGAATATGAGATATGTTCAAAGTGTGTTTTAAATACATTTTGAAAAATATACATAAATTATTGAAAAAATGTACTTTCCGCTCACGGATTTGTAATCTACGGGTAAAAATAAGACGATTTAAAAAAAAATTAATTTTTGAGGCCTTCGTTATATCTGTTTTAATGAAAAAGTTGTTTTTCTTTTCAGTTTAATTATTTTGTCACATATAACTTTTTAGTATCTTCAAATTGGATTATATTGTTTTAAATCATACACAAGAAAAGAAGTACACAATGGTGGTATCTGCTTGATAATTGTACACAAACGTTTGCTTTCTTAGTTAACATTCAAAAATTTTTACTGTTTAACTTTTTTGTACAATGTTGTCGACATTGCTCGTTTATTTGTATTTTCAAATAAATGTTTAAAAGAATTAGCGGAACTAGGTGAAAGATAGCGAAAGAAAACTATAACAATAATACCTGCTACCATGCAATGTTTTGTGTTTTTGCAATCATAGTATTTGCATTTTTATCGACTTGACGAGTTATTCATCTAACGATTTTATTATTTGGTATTTTTAAGTATTTATACCGTTTATATTTAATATTTATGTAAACAAACAACATAGGAATATTATAAATAACTGTTCTAAAGTATAAAACTACTCACTTTGTTGGCAAGTTCTTAAAAACAATTTCTCAAATACATTGAATCCAATTGATGCACTTGAAAAAGAAAACAAAAAAATTGACATAACAAGTAGCATTGCCAGACAATATACTAATTAGGTTTCCATTAAACAAAATTTACAATAGCTTTGTTTTCGTATTGTGGCTGTTTGCCAAACGTTAAAAGAATTAAATTTCAACAGATTAATATTAAACTTTAACATTAATCGTACGAGCGTCTAAATTTATTACAAAAAAAAAAAATAATAATCACTGCACTATAAAAAATTGGCAAGCGATCTTTAAATACGCTTTAATTTCTGTTCTTTTACAGGACATAATGACATTCACATTTTCAGATATATATGTTTTTCAGGTAGAGATAGAATAGTAGTAGGCACTATTTATGCAAAGTTTATATTCCGAAAACTTCATTTGTGCTAGATTTATATACTGTAAATGAATCATGTGAAATTTAAGAATGCAATATATGGCGTGATGGTAATTTGGTTTTCAAGCCCTCGCGCATAATTGTATGTTTCCAATTGTGCATACAAAAGGAATTCTATTACGGTCGCACACATGAAACAAATGATACTCATTTGTATATATGAAAGTTCTTAAAAGCGTATTTAAATTTAAGACTTGAATTCTTGCATTTTTAAGCACATTTGCTTATGAAAGGACCAAATGGCCTATATATAATACAATAGAAAGGCACAACTTTTTCATTCATTACAGTGAAAATAAGTCACCAAATATTGTACCATATATACATATGTACATGTTTTCGTGGATCAGTTGTCAACATAGATAAAATGATCCGAATTTTCTCTCTTTGCTTTCTGAGAGAGATCATGAACTTTCAGTGCTGCCAAAAAAAAACCACCAGTTCATGAGCTACTGAACAGATGACAACCAAAACAATGAACTACCACTAAAAATCCCGCAGAAATAAAATGCGAAATCAGTGGGTAATTTGTGAGATCAGATTTTTTGGTGACTTTTACGTATATTTCTAATCTTTATTTAAAGAGTTTTAATATAGCTTTGATTTTAAAAAAGAGCGTGTATTTTGTCGCAGAGTATTGTTTTGCTTAGCAGTACCAATTGTCAACGTATATACATATTTTGGCTAGAATACCCAGCAAATTTTATGTAAACTTTGACTTCCGAATAAATTATCGAAAGATATTTGTTTATTCAGTATATAAAAACTAAGTAATGTTCATGTTTAACTTATTTAAAACTTGAAAGTGTTTTGAAATATTAAAATATTTTGTTAAAATTAGTTTTAAAAGTTAATTTAGACCTCTGCGAATGGCAGGCACCTTGCCGTGGTGCAGGGGCTTAGGTCGCAAGGCATTCTCGGCATCTCCCAATCAGGGTGAGAAGTGCTGTCTAGCACCTCCCACGCGGGTTGTCAGGAGCCGCATGCGTGTGACAACCAAGAGCTGCCACCTTTTAATCCAGGGTGTTACGCGACTCCCGTGCCCATTGGATGATTTGCAGCCAGGAGGTAAATTCGGCTGTATTATAACGGAGCCTTCCCAACACCGGGCCGCCTTGGGAAGTAACTTAGGCCTTACCGCGTCAAGGGGCTCTGGCGCGGCGGACCATACCGTACCCCCTTAAACAGAATAGACCCGGAAGCTCACCTGGTTGAGCCAAGGGTCGTAAGAACCAGTATGAACGAAAACAACAACAAACAAACACAAAAAACCCAAAAAACGGAGCAACAACGACGACAACAACAGCAACCACCTAAAACGGCAACGACAACAATATCAGACTGCAATGCTTTCGTTGCAGGTAAGAGTGGTCCAGGAGCTAGGCGCAAGTTCAGCTTCCTGGACGCCCTTTCGCCAGAAGAGCGCGCACTGTTTGAGGAGCACGCGCGTGATGATGACGACGTGCCCTCGTGCAGTGGCAATCGTAAGGCGGCTACTGCGACGAGTGCAGATAAGGCGGATCCCACAGAAACCTCTTCAAGCAGGCTCAGCTGCTCAGAGGAGGATGAACCAAAACCGGATGGGACAGAAGCATTAAAACTCTCCACGAAAAGGAACAGGGGTAGCAACCCATCTCCGGCCGCGAAGAGACAAGCAAACGCCGCGTCCGTCGCGGGACGTGAGAAGCAGAAGGTCAGCCGAGATAATGCAACGCCGCCTGGAAAACGAGGGAGCGGAAGGGCGGAACCACGAAATGCTGCAGCACATACCGCGAAAAGGAAGAGCGGGCAGATAACGCCTCAAGAACCCCAAAATTCGAAGAGGCAAAAGGGGAATCAGCCACTGGCGATCGGAGGACCACGTTCTGCTCCAATTTGGCTTGCGGAGATCGCTCCGAAGCTGAACGGATGGAAAGGTCCGGTTCTACGCGCGAGGAGGGGCAAGGACATACCGCCTATGCACAGCATGACGGTGTATCTTCCCAGGAGCGCAGGAAAACCCTACGAGTTTGCTATTGGTCTCATACGAAACCAAAACGATGGGCTTAGTACATCGGCTTGGAGGGTAGTATACAGCAGTATTGAGGACGCCGGATGGAAGCTCAACATCACCACCGATGATGAGTCCTACAAATTCATCCGAAAGGAGGGGTTCAGGCTGAATTTTCGATTCAGCAGTGTGGTAATGAGGCCATGGAGGCCTAAAACCACACCGGCGGAGGAAGCAATGCTGGTGGATGGGACGCCCACTCAATCCGGTACCGGCACACTCGAGCAGGTTGCTACTGCTACGATGGTGCAAGGTGCTACAGCAGTCGCGGAAGCAGCAGTAACCATGGGTACAAAGGAGTGTGAAGGGGACCTACCCTCCACACAAGAGCCCCTAAAGGGGCTGAAGGGGCAGGACCTGCAGGGGAATAACGAGGACAGCGACGACGATCTGTCCCTCCTGGAACCAATCCTGGGACCGTCAGTGCCCATATTGAAGTGGCCCAGGTGAACCTACACCACGCGACAGCAGCCTCGGCTGTTATCGCGAGTAGGTTCCTTTCGGATAACCTGGGTATCCTACTGATCCAGGAGCCGTGGGTCCTAAGAGAGGAAGTCAGGGGCCTTAATTCAAGAGTAAGCAAGGTAATCTGGGATCTCTCATCTGAGAGACCCCGGTCTGGGTGGAGGGTTTCGAAAGAGCCCTCTATGTCAGATCACAGGATCATACGGTTCGCATTGAAAGTGGAAGTCAGGGACCTTTTGCCAGTCCGTATTCCCAGAAATACAAAATGGGACGTTTTCAGAGAAACCCTTGTTTTAAATATCAGCAGAGTAAGGTAGGTAGGAAGTGATGCTACGCCGCGAGAACTAGAGAGCAGGCTGGCTGCGACTAACCAGTTCATAATAGACGCGTACCATTGCGGTTGCCCACTAAAGAAAACCACCAAAAGGCAGGGCTGTCCTTGGTGGACCAGTAAACTCTCGGTGCTCAGAAAATCGGTTCGCAGGCTTAGGTCTGCAAAAACCAGTAGTTTCAGGAAATTCTGTGAAAATGTCTCCTCAATCCCAGAGGCAGCCAGACTGCACAAGGCTCTGGCCAAAGGTAAGACTGACACAGCATTAGCCATAAAAAGATCTGATGGGACCTATACGACCAACGCAAATGAAAGAGCAATGACACTCTTGCTTGAGCACTTCCCGGAGACTATTCGGGACGACAAAATTCCACCAGTGGTCACACATAAGCCAGATCGCTCAGATTGGACAGCTGCAAAGAATTTATTCAATGCTTTTGATAATGCGTCCCACGCAAGCGTGATCAAAGCACTGGAGAAAAGAAACGTGGAAGCTCTTTAATGCAGATGGATTAAGGCCGTACTGCATACTAGGATTGCAGAGACTACGGTGGGGGAAAGCAAGATACGTCTTGGTACTACGAGAGGCTGCCCTCAGGGTGGGGTATTGTCACCCCTTCTATGGAGCCTCGTAGTAGATGAACTCCTTGAGCTCCTGACGAACAATGGAATTCGGTGCCAGGGGTACGCCGACGACATTGTTATAATGGCAAGAGGGAAATTTGAGAACACTCTCTGCGACATAGTCCAAAGCCTAGCAAAGGGATGGTGCGATACGGTAGGATTGAGCATTAACCCGCAAAAAACAACCGTCATCCCTTTCACAAAAAGAAGGTCTCTTCCGGGCTTTAGAATACTATTCCTTTGGGGGCAGAGAGTTAGAAGTGTCTAGAGATGTAAAATACTTAGGTATCACACTGGACTCCACCTTGCGGTGGAATAGGCATGTGGAGTTAACGCTATCTGAAGCCACAAAGGCACTCATGGTGTGCAGATGCCTGGCCGGCAGATCCTGGGGATGCAAGCCTAGTATCATCACATCACACCATGATCGTGAGGCCTATTGTTACTTATGAAGCGGTGGCCTGGGCATCGAAAGCAACACAGACTTCGATAGGTCTTCAACTATCGAAGCTGCAAAGACTTGCCTGCGTCTGCGTCACTGGGGCAATGCGCACTTGCCCCACCGCAGCACTCGAGGTCATGCTAGAGCTCCCACCGCTCCATTTAGTTATCAACCAGACTGCGAAGCATACCATGCTGCTTATGACAGCAGAGAGGTATGGGAAAGGGAAGTTAATATCGTCTCAACAAATGAGGGCCTTAGAGTACAACACGCCACTAGCCCTTCTTCCAAGAGACGGGGTAACGAAGAGAGTAAACTTTACGAAAAAGTTTAAAGTTACTCTCGGCAGTAAGGCGGACTGGAGCGATTCCACACTCGACCAACTGCTGAGAGGCAGCACTATTCAGTGGTACACTGACGGCTCGAAAACACCAGAAGGAATTGGAGCTGGCATTGCGGGACCGCATACCAAGCTTTCCATTCCCATGGGCTGTTTTCCAAGCATCTTTCAGGCAGAAGTACTTGCCATTAGTCAGTGTGCAGTAATAAATCTCCAACGCAACTACCATAATAAGAGTATCGCAATACTCAGCGATAGCCAAGCGGCGCTAAAAGCGATATCGGCCTACGAGACTCGATCGCTATTAGTGGAGGAGTGTATAGGAAGGCTTAACCGCCTATCAGCTTGCAACCGTGTACACCTGATATGGGTGCCGGGGCATAAAGGAGTAGCCGGTAACGAGCTGGCAGATGAACTCGCCCGCTCTGCGGCTGCTACCAGAATGATGGGGCCAGAACCATGCATTGCGGTGGGGCCTCATACAATAAAGGAGCTGCTCCGTACGGAGGAGAGAGCGAACAGAGACAGTCTGCAGGGATGCGCCATGCCAAACTGCTACTGGGAGGGTTCAACCTAGCCAGGTTGATAATACTCCCCAGAGACAAACTCTGACTCCTAGTCT